AAAGGAGACAGTAGCAATGAAGAGCAACATAGCTTTTGAATGCATGTACTGATCAATGCTTATCTGTTGAATCTATAGAAACTGTAGAAGTTACGTAAATTTAATTAGGAAACTATTTACTCATGAAATTGATTCCCACATTGTTATTTAAGTAGATACGCATGACATAAACACGTGACCAGGCTCACTTACGAAGGATAATAATCATAAAAGTTGACAGATTTATTCGGAAAATTAAATGAACATAACAAAATAAACAATATGAATATAATGTAAACTTTATGAGAGATCATAAATCATATTTGCTAAATTTCTTAACCTCCTTCGATTCAGTCCAGTCAGATCATACATGTGTAGTGAGCTGACTCATTGTGATGCAGAACTTATGAATTATTCATTGATTATTATCTGTATATAAATGCATGTTGTGTCAAGTTAATTTCAGTGTTTGGGTGTCAACTAAATCGAAGCGGCTTGAGCACTAAATCTCACCCTCTCTCCCAGACTGGTAGAATCATATCTAAATTCTACATATGAATGATATAAATGTTATAAACTATAGCGAATACATCCATTTAACGGAGAGTACCTAGTGTAACAAATATATTCTTTATTGCTGTACAAAATAAATCCAGAGAAATGACACCTATGTATAACTTTACTGTCCTGAAGTGTCTATTATATAAAGACTGAGAATCAATTAACTCTTTAATGACCAAAATTAAGATAGGTGTAGTTGCTGCCAGTAATAAATTTATTTAGTAGCTGAGATTAGATAGTCTCTTTCACAAGAATGATAGACAGTTGATAAGCAATACAGATATACCTTACATGAGCAACAAAACACAAGCGTTGCTATGGCTTAGCATCTTTGATGTGTAAATGGCATAGATAATAGAGTATAATATCTAATATCTAATACTATACTCTAATAATATAATTTATACTCTAATATCTATGGTAAATGGATCAATTGGCCTGTCAAAGCAATTAATCTATGACTCATAAAATGAGTCTATGGTCCTTAAAGGATTAAAGGGTCTTACCCAATATAAGCATTCATGCTCAGTACAGATGAGGGTAATGTCCGACCTGATTCGATATCAACAGCATATCCACTATCCTTAATCTCCTTCACCTGTACCACATAATAACACCAATAACTTGGAAAAAATTATTTCTTTACTCACGCTCTTCATCATGTCATCCTGGTTATTATGGCAGCTGATAGCTCCACCCCCTCAAATGACATGACGTTTTATAATAGTGTTAACGCATCCTTCAGGATTAATTCCACCACCATTGGTAACGACACAAATACCTAAATATAACTATTAATAACTCCGGTGTGGTGGGCGTGGCTGCTTATAATTAATGGGTGTGGTTACCTTGCTTCTTGATGTCATGAATGAGTGGTTTGATACAGTGAGATATGAAATCAGGAGTATAGCTCATATCCTGTGATGAGAAAAGGGCTAATGCTTAAGCTGAAACATCATAAAAATGTAAAAAATGGAGATTTGCCCGAGACCATGTACTAAAGTACAAGGACTTTTGGCCAATTTTTGAGTAACTTTAAAATTTTGTGTAAAATCTAATTTTAATCAGATTCAGTTCAAATTTGCTACACAACGTTAAAACATGTATATCTATTAAAAAAATTATTAAAATTGAGAATTCCCTCCTTGTCATTTTTGGCAAAATTTCTTTACTATATAGGGCTAAGCAAATTATGCTTCAATTTCTGCCAATTATACTTTTAGGCACTGCCCCAAATTCCATCCTATTTTGCTTTGAAATAAATCCAATTATGCTCATTACTATACTCATCTTTTAAGCTTTACTCAAATATCAACTATCAAGTTACATGCACGTATCTGTTATATCTGTTATACCGTAGGGCACCTTTTTTCAAGGGCTATAAATTTCCCGGATTTAGTGATTCTTTGAAAATTCACAAAAAATACTTCTGCAAAAATTTAATTAATATGGTACAAGATGGCAGATGGCATAAATTTGCAAAAATTAAATCCGCAAAATCTATAGCCCTCAAAAAAAAGGCGCCCTACGGTAATGCCAAAATCTGAAAATGTTCTTTCAAAGACTTTGATTCACTAGAAAATAAAATACTCTAAGTCATTGGCCTCGCTCAGCTTTGCGTAGGCACGAGGACTATAGTTGGACTAGTACTTGCTGTATTGAATTGTAATTTCATGTGGTCAGGGGTATGGTATGGATGTGGTCAGAACTTTCTGACCCACTATGCTTAAATGCCAGCATAATAACTTGCCCTATTATGCACCAAATTACCGTACACGTCTTAATTTTCGAGGTGTATTAAATTTCGTTATTTTCGTGCTCACCTTAATTCCACGAAATTTAAACCACCTCTAATGCCATTCTATTGTATGTAGACTATGGCCAGAACACGAAAATTAGCTCACACGAATATTAACTTTTGAGCAAATTTCATTGAAAACACGAAATTTTGAACCCTCAAAAATTTGGACGTATACGGTATGCTAGCATAATTTGCCTAGCCTTAGTACTATAGTACAGAGTGTTTTGTCCAATTTTTGAGTAACTTCAAAAATTATAAAAAATCTAATTTTGATCAGAATCAGCTCAAACTTGCTACACAACATACCGTATAGCGGGAAATTTTGGAGAAAATTAAATTTGGTGAATTTGGCGTTTTGATAGCCATTCGCCAAAATAAAATCCGCCATTTTGAGCCATTATACGCATGCTCAATGGCACATGGCCACTAATTCGCCAAAATAAAATCCGCCAATAACCAAAATTTAGCAATTCACCAAATTTTACTCCCTCCAAAACTACCCGCTATATGGTACCTTGCAACATACAAACATGTGCATATATATCTGGCTTAGGAAATGAAATAAAATGGAGATTTCTAGTACATGTATCATGGATCATGTGCAGGAAATGCAGCATTACTGGTTTTTTTCTTTTAGCTCCAGCCAGTAGGGACATTGTTATCTCTGAGAGATAGTCAGCAACTAAGAAGACCAAATCACCATACCTCACTAACTGAGGCGTAGACTCAGACGTGTCACCCCAAAAACCAGAAGAACAGCTAATCCTAACCCTCTCATACTTCCCTGAACTAGCTCCATAGGGAACGACTAACAATGCTAGAACGTAGTACTGGTGTAAGAAGTAGGTCAGAATACCAGCCATTTTTGATTGCCACTCCCAGTCTCCCACCCTATCTATGCAGACAATGCTGCAAGCCTGCTGTGGAATTATGCAAAAATTAAAAAATGAAAACAACCATTGATTACTTATTATTGTATGCATGCATGCAAAATGTGGATTAAAAATCAGTCAATCAAATCTTCACGTATGAGTGTCTCTCTTCTTCTAGTCACAAAATCACCATCTTCATCATACAGTTCTACTATCACCATATTCTCCATGTCGTGGGTAACAACGTGTCTGTCATCTACAAAAGGAACCCTCAGTGACCTCAGATATTTTTGACGCTGCGAAATCTTTCTTGTAGTTTGTGGCATTCTCATAATTTGAGACTTAATTTTTTTCCATATTTTCATCTGTGTAAAGCGATAGATCACAATGCAAAGAAACACCAAAACTACGAGAGAGATAGAGATGTAGCTGAAGATATACGAAGCTTTTGGATTTATATTTGTATCATTGATTGCTGCTAGAAAAATCAGATTAATGTAATGAAAGCATTCAAGATAATTATTGCATTTCTTCTGATATGGACCTTTTGTTATGGCAACAACACCAAGCAGTATCCCTATAATAGTAATAATAAAAACAAATTGTGCCTCACCAGACACAATGACTAAAACTACATATATGATTCTCATCAGTAGAAGAAATCCAGTCCACATCCTATTCTTATCATCATATGGTCCATTGTAGGCATCAAAAAGAGGCTTCAGTTTAATCCAACACTTACAGCAATGATAACGTGATAAATACTTCTCAATGCATGGACTGCATAGAAGAAACAATGTATAAAAG